AGTTTGGCAGTTGCCAGGAGAACGGTACCTGCTTGACTGCATCGTGCAGTGTAAAGTTTGGTGGAGGGGGGATTATGGTGTGGGGTTGTTTTTCAGGGGTTGGGCTTGGCCCCCTAGTTCCAGTGAAGGGAACGTTTAAGGCATCAGCATACCAAGACATTTTGGACACTTTCATGCTCCCAGCTTTGCCGGAACAATTTGGGGATGTCCCCTTCTTGTTCCAACAAGCAAGGTCCATAAAGACATGGATGAGTGAGTTTGGGGTGGAGGAACTTGACTGTCCTGCACAGAGTCCTGACCTCAACCCCATAAAACACGTTTGGGATGAATTAGAGCGGAGACTGTGATCCAGGCCCCCTCCCCCGACATCAGTGCCTGACCTCACAAATGTGCTTCTGGAAGAATGGTCAAACCTTCCCATAGACACCCTCCTAAACCTTGTGGGCGCCCTTCCCAGAAGAGTTGAAGCTGTTATAGCTGCAAAGGGCGGGGCCAACTCAATATTGAACCCTACGAACTAAGGATGGGATGCCACTAAAGTTCATGTGCGTGTAAAGGCAGGCCAACCAATACTTTTGTCAGTATAGCGTGCGTGTGTGTATGTATGTATATCACGAGGCAGTATCAAATAGATTCAAGACTAGTTTTGTAACACGCCAACAATTGTCAGCACAAGGCTGCACTCACAGACACAGGGAGCACTGACCTTCATAAGTCGGTGTGCCAAAAGACGTCCTGTGTACATCGGGAGCTGTGCAACTGGTGCTATTCTGACCACGTTTGTTACCACGTCTGCTATTTCATTATGGGCAGCAAGTTAGAACAAAGAGCAGATGTGAAATTCTCCATGAAACTGGGCAAATCTACCACAGAAACATTTGACATACAAATTTACAGCGATGCTGTAATGAGTCGTTCGAGGTGTTTTGAGTGGCATGTGTGCTTCAAGAGTGGAAAAACATCACTGGAAGATGACAAAAGATCAAGAAGACCAACAAGCTCAACCCTTGAAAATGCCCTCTTCCCAAAGATGAAGATCCAACTCAAAGTTCGGCGTTTTGACAACATTGCAGAGATCCAGAGATTTGCCTAGTTTCACGTAGAATTTCATATTTGCTCCTCATTCTAACTAGAACTAGCTGTTAGAAATGAATATATATAATATTTTGTTATGTGTTTTGGATGGCATGAGGTAGGGTGACAACCTTTGTAAAGTGTGGTCCATCACTTCCTGCCCTGTGACAAGGGATCCCCAGTCTGGACACAAAAATGTGAAAATCCAACTGATGTTTTAAGTTTTGCCTCAGGCTCCACTCTTAATTGAAACTCAGCAGTTCACTACCAGTTCCTATTAGGCTTCATGTACACAATCAGCTTCTAAACTCGAGTTTAGGAGCTTTTGGGTTTTTTTTTCCCAAACCTCCTAAACTCAGTTCTATAAAATCCTATGTGTCCATGTGTACGTAGGCTTTTAGCAGAGTTTAGGAGCTGCTGCGTTTAGGTGAGGTTAAGCTTCCCTCTCCTGAACGTGGAAGAATTGCGTTCAGGATAGGAACATTTTGATCGCTGACCGCGGGAAAACGCAAAACATGGTACAGCTTTTTTGCAGTGATTTGCGGTTTTCCACGGCCAGCGATCAGGGTAGGCTTGTGTACATGAAGCCTTAGTATTGCACAATAACCTCCCTGGTGGTATTCCCGAGTGTAGCTCGGGGTTAACTTTTAGTACCAGAAGCTACACTCGGGAATACACTGGAGCGTTGCTCTGGGATCCCTCAAGCACCTTGTCCTGCGCTCCCGCGATGTCCCCCCTGCAGTGACCCCGGCCATGTCGCCCGGCCGATGCCGGCATCCGTCTTCCAGGTTCCATTCCCTGCGAGCGTTGGGACGTATGGGGGACGGAACCGACGGGAATTTCAAAAATGTAAAAATTTGACATTCACGTAATACACTAAAATTACATAGTAAAACATTCCTGTATCAAACCATTTCACATACATTTTGTCCCGAGTGCTTTGTCCTGTGCCCTGCCTGCATTTTTACTGTTCTTTCTGCCTGGAAACTGAGAAATGTCCATGGCGTCCAAAAAGCGTCCCTTTAGGTCAAAATCGGTTTTATACCAGCTAGAGAACAGAGATAGTAAATCAGAACCACTTGCAGAATTGAGTGATAATGATTCGTGGGGAAATTCCTCATCAGACACTGAAAACGATTGTGCGACTTTGCTCAGTGATGTGTGAACTTGTCGCTCAATTTCCAATTTCAGTGTTTTTGGTTTGATGACATTATTGAATTAAATGTATTATTATTATATTATTATTTTTATAATTATTATATTATAATTTATGATTTTGTGTTTAAAATTTTATCATCCCCGGGATGTTTACTAGACTCTTGTTCGGACAGATTTCAATGGGTTATTCCTAAAAATTACAGGCCTACAATAAAAAAACATATTTCCATTGAAAATAATGTACAGCTTTGAGCACAGAAATACTGACATAATCAGACCGCTAGGGAGGTGAAGTAAAGCCTGAATTACAGTGTAACTTAATACTGATGCTTTTCATTTGAAAATTCTCTCCATTTCTCTGTGTTTGCTGTGGCAAGTGCTAATACACTAAACTGTACACATCTGTTCAAAGTCACGGTAATGTCACCAGTGATGGATCCTTACATCTGATAGGTTCCTATAAGTAGCACCTCTAAATACAAACTCATTCCATTGTCTGAAATCTGTCTGTAAATGTCATTTCCTCTCTAGGCAACTTCGGCAGCTGACATGGAAGCGCGGCTGGCTTGCGGCCTGGTGAAGGGCCACGCCTACGCTGTGACCGATGTCCGGAAAGTGCGTTTGGGCCATGGATTGCTGGCATTTTTCAAGTCTGAGAAACTGGATATGATCAGAATGCGCAATCCATGGGGTGAACGAGAGTGGAACGGGCCATGGAGTGACAGGTAATCCTGCACCAATCACAAAAGGGTTGCTGAACTTTTCTGGAAAATGTGTGCCACCAACAAAAACTATGAAGGTGTTCTGAGTGCCACCTCACCTGGTAAATCAGATTGTCCAATGTGATTAGGCCACTCGCATCGAAAATAAATCGAGGATTGCTGATATCTTGACCTCACCTTCAGCAAAATGCTGGCTGCCTGGCTGCCTCTGGGTTCACTGACCTGAAACAACTATGTATATCGCGTTTAGACTTTACTAGTTCCAGGTCAGCGGCTTCTAAAATATTGAAACCAGAGGATTGGCATAACAGCTAGACAGGAAGGAGGGATAAGCAACTCCAGGTAGTATTTTTTAAGGGTTCATTTAGGGCCGATTCACACCAGGAATGCACGGTGCGGTTCCTGTGCGGTTCACATGCAGTTCTGTGTGGTGTGATTTCAGCCTATTCATTGAATGGACTGAAATCAAAGCGCGCCACACCAAAAGTTGTGCATGCACTGCCATTGCAAACTCACTAAACCCGCACCGCATGGTACTTTTGTACCATGCGTTCTGGGGCGGGCAAACGTATTGCCTTTGCATCCTGTATTTGGGTGTTATTAACTTAATATTAACAGCCGCTGAAGATTGCAACTGTTTTGGATGTGGTGCGGCAAACGTTCATGGAACACTGGTTTCCCGCAACACATTCTGGTGTGAACTGGCCCTTATACCATAATCCCCGCGCTCTGGTTGTATGCGAGTTTACATGTAATTGTAATGCATTTCCAGTGCATATTTGGCATATAAGAATAGGCAACTGAGCTGCTGTTTTACCACCCCACACGATCACCCAGCTCAAGCTAACGTGGCAGCCTCGGGGGTTAGGTGGTACACTTTGTGTCTGCGTCAAAAGTTGTCCCTCTTGTCGTGCTTGGCAGACAGTACCACCACCTAACATGACCCATTCAAGTGAATAGGGCTGCAACACAACCACCCTGCAATCGGTTGCGACGTGGTGCTGCAGGCTTTGCAGGTTTAAAAACGGGCATCCAGGAGGTGACAAATTGTCTAGCATCTACCTGCCCTCTGAAAAACAATCCACTACAGACCTTACAGTGATATTAGTGCCAGACTTGGTGTTACTAAACCCAGGACCCCGCATTCACAGGACCCCGCACTCACTATATCTGGTCTCCCCGGACCCCGCATTCACTATATCTGGTCTCCCAGGGCATTCACTATATCTGGTCCCCGGACCCTGCATTCACTATATCTGGTCTCCCAGGATCCAGCCACTACATCTGGTCCCAGGCCCGCTCACTATATCTGGTCTCCCAGGACCCTGCATTCACTATATCTGGTCTCCATGGACCCTGCATTCACTATATCTGGTCTCCCAGGATCCAGCATTCATTCACTCCCCAGGACCCCGCATTCACTGGTCTCCCAGGACCCTGCATTCACTATATCTGGTCTCCCACAGTACACAGAACATTCAAATGCAATTATTTTAGTAAATATAACCTGCTAAATACCTTTTCTCATCAGCAGTTAGAGCAGTCTTGTGACTTTTATCAGTGTCCAGCAGAGCACTGGTTAAAGCTTGTAGGAGCAGTTTTCATTCTGCTCTGATTGTCCTATGAGGCTGCATAAACCATGACCCTCTGTCTGACCAGTGCTGATTGGCTCCGTGCTGAATGCATGCACCCTCCCACAGAAAAAAAAAATGTCTCTGGCAAAAACACATCAATCTGAGTATGCACAGAGTGACTCCTAGAGCTCAGTACTATCAGCAGATGGATTGGGAACAGTAGAAGAAGGGGAGGATCAGAGAAGACAGGATCAAACAGCCTTATTACACAATGCAGAGTATTAACCCCTTAGGTTCCACAGTGAGAATAACAAGAACGCTTTACTGCTTATACAGACTGATTTTACTGTTGTGGGTTTAGTAATATTTTAAAGAAAAGGTGGATCTGTGTCATGCATCTGTCTCTTCCCTCCACAGTTCAGAGGAATGGCAAAAAGTGAGCAAGAGCGAGCGGGAAAAACTGGGAGTGACAGTTGAGGATGATGGCGAATTCTGGTAAGTCCTCTACTAGTACAAATCTTTGGGTATTTGTATGTAAAATGATGGTATAATATAACACATTGACTAATCGATGTACAGCCCTATGTATACTGTGTGCACCCATAACTCTGATAGGAACATGTGCAGCAATTGGAATTTCAGCACGTGGGCACTACTACTTCAAAAGGGAATTCTAGAGTAGATCTGAACCAGGAAGAAAGACCACTGCTGAGGGGCTTTCCTCACTCTGTTCCTGCATGAACTGTGGTGGTAATATGGTGACCGCGTGGGACATCAGCACGCCGATTGTGAGGGTGTTGTATATTGATCAACTATTTTTTGCTTTTTCGCTGCTTTCACGCTGTCTGGTTTTGGGGGCTACTCACCCACACCTGCTCGCCTGTCAGATTAGCACCTGGCGGCTCCAGCCAAATAAACAAGCTATTTGCAGTGTACAAGCTTTAGCACCCAATGGATGAGGCCAAAGTGGTGGGCCCCATGCAGGATGAGGGGTTCCAGGGTAGTCTGGTTGGAGAGGAGAGAACTGATTTACAGTACTTTCTGGATTGTTAAGTTCTCATTTGAGACCCAGAATTCAGAGGCTCAGAGAGACTTTGGGTTGGAAAGAGCTTCAAAACCCTGATTACAGGGACTTTGGTCTAAAAAGGGTTAACACGCTTGCAGTTAAGGCCTGAAGTCAGATAGCACCTATCCAGGGGCGGACGGACCATTTGGAAACTCGGGCACTACCCGCGGGCCCAAAGTCAGTAGGGGGCCCAATGAGATGCCCCTGGTACCTTTTTCATAGGCTTTTTTGAGTTTGGGCAAGGACACAGGGGCCCCATGATCCCCTATTGCCCGGGGGCCCCATGAGTTGTCAGTCCGCCCCTGCACCCATCTGTTAGGTAGAGTGGTGTAGTTCTCAGCTGTGGCTATCTAGAGACATAGATTTGTTGAACTTCTGCTTTCTTTGCGGTACGCCTGACGCAAACAGGAGCCTCGTGTGGGACTGGCACATTGGTGATGAGCCGTTATATTGTCTTGATTATACCAGGATTATTGATGGTTTGCTTTATTTTTGCTGAAGAACACTGATTTGTATTGTTGCTAGAGTCCAATAAAGACTGCTACTTTTTACAAGTGGCTGGATGGTGATCTCAGGTCCTCCAGACTACGATACATATTGTACCGTCCACTTTCCTGTTTGAAAGCGATTCAAAGTGGTTGACTTTCCTACGAAATTGAGAAAGATCCTTCTCACTTGCAGTCTAGATAAATAAAATATCAATGAAGGGGAAGCAGGTTTGAAAAACCACTCTTCATTGCCTTTAAGGTTTGATGAACATTCTTGTGCATCACATTGACTTTAATGTAAGTTTGCCCACTATTTACCCGTTAAGAGGTTCATTTTAGGCATTATTTGTATCTAATCAGAGCACATTACAGACCCCTAATCTAATTTAACAATCATACAAAAAAACACCATTCTAGGTTTCCCCAGTAGATACTGAGGCCCTCTTCCCCTATTCCCTTGGTTTTTAACTGTGTAATGGAACCGACCCCGACAGTACTTCCGGTAGAATACCGTTTCCCTGTCCGAAACACCGACCATAGACACCACAGCGGACCAAACAAGACTAGACAACACCAATCTTGAAGTAATCTAGAAAGTAGACTAGTTTATTTGAATACAGATACAAGATATATGCACTCAGGGGACAGTCCCCCCTCCCTGCATAATGACACAAGGCGGGGCAATTTACATTTAGTAACAAGAGACACACAGGTATTCAAACTTCACACCAGCAGACAGTCCCATCAGGAGGGAGGACTGCTGGAGACACCCCCCCCCCTAAGCTAATACACATACATCCCATAATAGTTTGCTCCCAAGCAAGACAAACAATAGAACAATGGGATGCAGCCACATAACACCAAACAATACACAATCCCCACCCCACCTATCTTCTAGACATGTCTACACAATATTAGGACACATCACCCTGTACCCCTAATAGGCATAGGGTGACTTACACATAAGAGGGATATGGGGAGCTGAGACAGGGGTCTCCCCACCTCTCAAAAGTGAGCTGGGTTCCATGGGCCCCCCACCCAAAGTGACTCCCGTCACAAACTGCTTTTTCAGATATCTCCTAGACACATAGAGGGAGATTTACTAAAACTGAAGCATGCAAAATCTTGTGCAGCTGTGCATGGTAGCCAATCAGCTTCCAGGTTCTATTGTCAAAGCTTAATTGAACAAGCTGATTGGCTACCATGCACAGCTGCACCAGATTCTGAGTACTCCAGTTTTAGTAAATCTCCCCAACTAGGTCTCCTTCCTCTTTAGGTCTTCTTCCAGCATTCGGTAATGCTCAAGGATTCAGAGAGCACCACGGACATGATGATGTCAGCACCACTCTTAGTGAGCAGTCCCTCATGTCCAGCACTCACAGTATGTCCTCTGTCTGCCTGGTTGAATGATGTTGAGCAGAAAACTGAGGACTTGTGGGAGAATTGAATAACTGCTGGGGAAACTATATTTAAAAAAAAAGAAAAAAAAAAAAAGCCTGAGGTTGTTCTTTAAATGTTAATAGGTTTTGGTGTTTTTCAGGATGACGTTTGAAGATTTCAGCAAATATTACACGGACATCATCATGTGTAGACTCATAAACACGTCCTATTTGAGCATTCACAAGACTTGGGAGGAGTCTGTACTGCGGGGGGCTTGGATAAGGCATGATGACCCTCTAAAGAACCGGTCAGGGGGCTGTCTCAATAACAGGACAACCTTTCTCCAGAACCCCCAGGTGAGAACCAACCAATGGTACTTCAGTAGGGAAGCCTGGTCTGTGTGTTCTGTTGGCAGAGATCTATCTTCTCCAACGTTGAGTCCACTGAAAACTGACAGATCATTTTGTGGCATGTTTAAAAGGCTAGATTGTGTGGAAAAATATGGGGTTACTGGGGGAGTGGCTAGTCATGGTTCTGAGCGGACACGTGTGACGACGTTCCACAGGACCTTTACAATGTACCTTCTTGGACCCCCAACGGGCTATTGACCTCATGCCAAAACCGAAAAAGGCGCAGGGAACCCCCTTTGATTCAACATCGGTGGAACTGAGCTGCTGCTTCTCCTAGCAGTCAGTAGGAACTGCCAGACTGCTAACAGCCAAAATGGCGCTCCTCTTAGTTTGGACACCATTGTCTGGATACTTCACCACTTCGCCATTCACTGTCGATCTTTTATTCCTTCGTGAATAACCCAGCGGCGGACTGTGTCCCACCATTTTTACAAAAATGAGAGAGGGAATTGAATGTGATTTACAGAGGGGTTGGGTTCTCTTCTTCACACACAGGTCCCTTCATCTCTAGTAGACAACAAGAATTTGGTTACAAATTGTTGACCCAGTGGCAGGGGCGGACAGACAACTCATGGGGCCCCAGGGCAATAGGGGATCATGGGGCCCCTGTGTCCTTGCCCAAACTCAAAAAAGCCTATGAAAAAGGTACCAGGGGCATCTCATGGGGCCCCCTACTGACCCCGGGCCCTCGGGCAGTGCCAGAGTTTCCAAATAGTCAGTCCGCCCCTGCCTAGTGGTATAGGATGGAATCATTTTTCCATAAGGTCTTTCCGTTGGCTTCTCCCCTATGTTGGCGATGTCTTCAGGACAACGGCACATTGCTCTATATCTTCTGGACGTGTCGGCGTATATGCCCATTGTGGGAAGACATCAATAGTCTGACCTACAGACTTACCAGCATTACACTGGAATTTTGTCAGGAGGTATTTTTATTACATACCACCCCACTTTTAAGGCGCAGATCTAAAAAAAAAAATCCCTTTTGCTCCCTGCAAAAGTGAGCATTCCCCAAAAATGGAGAAGTGTGGATCCACCAACAGTTGGACAATGGATAGCCGTAGTTACTGAAATAGATGATATGAAATGCTTGACGGCTGAAAAGTAAAGATGAGCAATTTCTCAAAAAATGGTTTTATTGTCACGATTTCCATTACACACGTGGCTATACTGTATATTTGGCAGATACGGTTTCCCAAGATGTAATGAGCCAGGATTGGCTCGTTCTTCCCTTTTCACTGATCCATAATAGTCCTTTGAACCCCTCTCTTTACCCCCATTTTTTTCTTGCCCTCTTCCCCCTTTCTTTTTTTCTCTCTCTCTCCTCTTCCTTCCCCCTGTTCTGGAACCTTTCTTCTCTTTGGTGTGTCCTCTACCTTGTCCTTATTGGACCTTTCTGTGCTCTGTTTCCCCACTTTTATTGTTTGCTTTGGAAAATAGTCCTCCCAGCTTTTGCATAGGTTGGTGCTTAAATGTAGATCTTATACCTACATGTGGAAGTCATATGGGTAAGTCATCTGTCCCTCTTACTTGGGATTTGATGATTCCTAGTATCATAGTTACATAGTTAGTCTGGCTGAAAAACGACAAAAGTCCATCTAGTTCAACCATAAAAAAAAAAAAAGTTATAATCCCACACCCACAGTTGATCCAGAGGAAGGCTTGTCGGGGTTGGTTTTTGTAATTTCGATTTTTCGTTTGCCTGCTGAGTATGTACCATTTACAGTTTGGATAAGCTCAGTTCCTTCATGTTGGATTTAGTCTTTTCTGCTTCAATATTGTTCAAAAAACATTGGGGATTACTTTCATGAATGATCATGCACAACGACCTTGATTTACAAGCATGTAGAGCATGTTCACTTTGAAAGTGAATTTTTACATATCTTGGTAAATATGGTGAAACAAAGTGAAAATTCTTTTTGCAAAGAATAGGCAATCATGTGCAAGGAAAACTAAAAAAGAGCTGGAATTCTGCATGCATTCTGCTTTGGATGATTGATGTCAGCACAGCTTCACCTTGCGAAAACAAAGAAATGCTGCTCTCCGAACCCAACCGGAATGTAGATGAAGATGTCAAACGGCCTCAGACAGCGCTGCTCCACAAACCACATCTACTGATGCATTTCACCCCACGCATAGGGGCTCTGTCACAGAGTGACCAAGTTCCGGTGGGTGGGCGGGCGCAACACGTTTGGAGGGGGCATGGTTTGTGTAACAGTGCTGGATTAGACCTTTGACATCTTCATCTATACTGCAGTCAGGTTGGGAATGCAGCGTTCTTTGTTTATACTACCCTGTCACTGCTGGATGAGTGCGCTTAACACCGGCACCCCATTTCTGAGGATCGGGGGGGGTCACACCTTCCCTCTTGCTTAGAGCGGCGCCTTATACTCCAAGCCCTTTTACTGGGTCACGGTGAGTAACAACTTCACCTCGGTCACCAAATTAATCAAATTCCCTTTTTGGCAAACTAATTTTCCCTTAGCTTAGTGAATAAGGTGATGTTGTGCTGACTTTAACCCCTTGACGCCGATGTAACACAAATATGCGGCCTCACAGAACTGGGCTTTTTTCCATGGGGCCGCATATTTGCGTACCTGTCTTTGTTCTGGGAGCGCACCACATAGCGTGTTACCAGCACAAAGACCGCGGTGTCACTGAGAGCTCCGGGTCCCGTTCTAATGATCAGGACCCGGGACTCCAGATTCCAGGGTCACATGATCGCTGTGATAGCCTCTGATTGGCTATCACAGTGATCAGTCACTGTACAGCCCGGCCCCCTTGTTTTTTTCTCTTTCTATGAATGGAGGAGAGAGATACATTTTCTCAAAAAAAAATATATATATATTAAAAAATAAAGAAAAAATACCTAGATCAAGGTTTGATCTAGTTCGGTGCCAGGGTAAGTGTTTGGGTCAGGGTCAAAGCTCAAAAGGTCAGAGTCAAAGGTCAGGATTAAAAAAAAAAAATAGTGTGTTTTAGATAAAAAAAAAAAAACACAAAACAAAATGCGCACTATTGTTTCTGGGCTGTACTACGGGTGCAAACAACACATAACATACATACATACATAATATCGCTGCAATCGTCAAGAGCTGGAAAATTTATTTTGGGTTGCTCTTTGGTGGTAGGTTATGGTAGTAACAAGAAACACACAGCTACATTAAAGAAACTGATTTTTTTTTTTTTTTACTATTTTGAGCCAGTTTTCCTTTGATTAATAAAAAAAAAAAAAAGGAGATATCCATTACCATTTACCACCAAATGAAAGCCCAACCCTGGGTGTCGGATCCTCTCTCTGGTGTGCGGCCTGTCCCCGGACTCTCCCCGGAGCTCCTCCCCCTCCCGCTGGGTCAGCAACTCCGGACATGAAGCTTCGCCTTGGTCTCCTTTTGGTTGTTCTGGAGAGACTTCTGAACAAAACCCCTAAAAAACGATTTCCAGGACTCCAGTTGGATAACGGTTGCAGAGCAGTCTCCGATCCAGAGGAGGGAGTCCCTTCCCATGCTGTCTGGTCCATCTAAAGGGGGCTTCCTGCAGATCCTTGGTCAATATATGATTCAACACATTGCGCTTTTTACTATGTGCATCTGTGAGTGAGTGCGCATTTTTTTTATCAATTCCCTGCACGGATTAAAGTCACATGGAATAATCTGATACCACCTGTGCTACAGGATTCATGTGCAGCACAATTTTCTGACCGGTGTTTGTCAGACCCTCACCATCATATGAACACTTTCTTTGTTTTATGACTTTCACAGCCGCGCTTGTTTATTTGTGCTCATTGCAGCGTTTCATTCACTCCTGTGTGTTATCACTTGTATTTAATATCTTCATATTAATAATATTTTGAGTATTAATTTTTTCAGCACTGCACCAAATTTTGTTTGTGTTTTATATAAGGTCTTCGGTTTCTTTTTAGTGCATTTGCTGCTGACCTCATCAGAGTCTTGAGCGCTCACTGTTCTTGTCTTCAGTATTTAACTATGTAATATCGCACTGCACTCGCACTCCAAACCGCATGTAAAGTGCGCATCTCATCCAGTCTCAACCTAGGCTTAGTCACGTGCGAGCAAAAATGTATTTTTCAAATTTTTTTGCTGCTGGGGTGACTTGCATCTCACAGACCTGTATGTCTTGTCTTTTCTCTCCAGTTTGTGTTCGATGTAAAGAAACCAGAGGATGAAATTCTCATCTGCCTACAACAGAAAACCAAACGGACCACACGGAAAGACGGGAAAGCGGAAAACCTAGCTATTGGTTTTGATGTGCTTAGGGTGAGATTTATATCCTCTTATCTTCCTTTCTGTAAGGAAAACAAATCGCATACACTTTGGGGGCTCGGTCAGGTGCGTTCAGGCATTTGATGGTGTCAGCCGACACCAGTATTATGGGGTTACCTGCCATAGCGCTATGAGAAGAATGCACTCAAGACATAAACCAGGCAAATCAGCGTAAGGTACAGCCATGACTGGGGGATCATTGATGGTAAAATCTCAGCCATGGGCTTGAAGATGGCAGTAAGGACCCAGCAGGGTTCTAGACCCTGTATTGATTTATTATAAAAGTTCCACCTTTAAACTCAAGATGACCTAGTCAGATGTTTAGTGATCTATCATTAGTCCTGGTTAGCATTGGTGGGGCTGACTTGTCTTCTTTGAGCAGGTGGAGTTGAACCGCAAATACCGCATGCACACAGTCCAGCCGAAGGTCGCCAGTTCCATCTACATAAACTCGCGCAGTGTCTTCCTCAGGACGGAGATGAAAGAAGGTCGCTATGTCATCATTCCCACCACATTCGAGCCTGGAGCAACAGGAGACTTCCTCCTCCGAGTCTTCAGTGATGTGCCTTCAAACTGCTGGTAAGAGCCTTGGATTTCATAATGTGTATTGCTGCTCCACCGGATTGGAGAGCCTGAAAAATGGGTCTTCTAAAACCCCCAAAGGACAATGGTAAACTAGGTAGATATAGACTCTTCAGTGCTGCAGAATTACATAGTTACATAGTTAGTCTGGCTGAAAAATAGACAAAAGTCCATTCAGTTCAACCATAAAAAAAAAAAAGTTATAATCCCACACCCACAGTTGATCCAGAGGAAGCAAAAAACCCAGCAAAGCATGATCCAATTGATATTGCTGCACTTCAACATACTAGGGAGATAATTTTCTTCACTGTAGGTGGCACTCATCCGCAGTGGCCATGCAGATGGGGGAGGAAGACAAGAGAAACCTAGTTCCTCTCTGGTTTCCTTGGTCACAGGGAGGCAGCTATCCAATTGGATGCTGGTGCCGCATGTGACTTTGGCAGCCATCTTGGATCAGGTAGAGTCCATTTAAAGAGAAATATGGCATTTTTGTTTTTTTTCTTCAAAATCATACTTACTTAGGTGGATGCTGCATCTGTACCCCGCCGGCTCTAAGGGTGACAGTGATTGCATGACTGCTGATCACTGAGTTCTCACAACCGCTGTCTGCTCTGCCCCCCCCCACCCATGCTCACTGGAGCTCTGGGCTGTGGAGGGGGAGGGAGCAGCTGGCATAGGCTCTCAGCAGATCGCTGAGAGGCTGAGCGAGATGCCGCTTCAGACTCTGGGGTGGATCCTGACTTTAAAGTCAAGATCTTTCCCCAGCATGGTCCGGCTGAGACCTTTGGCTGTAGTTCTCCTTCAAGACTCTGGTGCTCAGGTTTGGCACAAATTTTGCGAGTGGCTAGTGTAGGGACAGGTCCCTTGTCTTGCCAGTACTTAGAGTCAGGAAAAGGTTCTGGAAGAGTAGGGAAAGTACAGGGACTTTGCTAACCTTCCCAGAAGCTCCCCCATTGGCTACGGACCGGCCAGGCTGCATTCCAGTCCTCGTGGCAGATGCTGTTGCCTTCTCCGGGTCTTCAGTCTTCTGTTCCTTCACCGTTACACTTTGCAAGTGGTCATGGTTGTGTTGCCTCCAGGGGCGGACTGACCATTTGGAAACTCGGGCACTGCCCGAGGGCCCGGGGTCAGTAGGGGGCCCCATGAGATGCCCCTGGTACCTTTTTCATAGGCTTTTTTGTGTTTGGGCAAGGACACAGGGGCCCCATGATCACCTATTGCCCGGGGGCCCCATGAGTTGTCAGTCCGCCCCTGGTTGCCTCCCCACCGGGCCTGTTATGTACTGCTTTTTACCCACCGCATCACGCTGCACCTACCCACGTGCTGTCCATGTTCCTTGCACCACTTCCAAGAGTGACTCCTGGTCATCCATCATTGCAATCTATGCTTGAACCAAACAGTCATCTCTTTGTGATGACGTCACGCTGCTCAGTCTTCTGGAGTCTAAAAGAACCCATCAGTAGGCAGCCAATAAGAACTGTCTACGTCAGCCAGACAGTGACATAGACACCCAATGAACCATCCTCCTCCTCTGCAGTGAAGAAGATGGAAGACTCTGGTCCTGGTGCGTCATGTGTCCATGGATTTAGGTAAGTGAAAGTAAATGTTAGGTTAGGTTTTTATAAAGTGACCCTGTCACACAGTCGCTTCTACACACAAGACAACCTATAGAAGAGGCAATATATATCTCTTTCTAGAGGCCTGTGTGTTGAAAAACCAAACATTTGCTGTTCCCTGGCAGATGTAAACCTGTAAGAAGGTAATTTGTAGCATATCAGACAGGGGCGTCCCTAGGGTTGGTGAAACCCGGTGCGGTAACACTTGGTGACTCCCCGTCTGATGATCCCCCGCAGGATGGATCGGATCTGCGGATTGTGCATAATGGACCGGAGCCCGATCTATTATCCTCCCCAATCCGCAGATCCGATCCATCCTGCGGGGATCATCAGAGGGGGTGTCACCAAGTGTTACCGCACCGGGTTGCAACCTATACGTGGTTAACCGATCTCTCCACGAGCTCCACAAAAAGGTAAGTTATAAAGCAAGTGACGATCCCCGCAGGATGGATCGGATCTGCAGATTAGGGAGCATAATGGATCGGACTCCGATCCATTATGCTCAATCCGCAGATCTGATCCTTCCTGCGGGGATCATCGCTTGCTTTAAAGCTCACCTTTTCGTGGAGCGGGTCCAGTGTCACCCCGTGCTATTGGTGTCACCCGGTGTGGTGCGCACCCCCCACACACCTGCCTAGGGATGCCCCTCTCTCAGACACTGTATGGATATCGTACCGACATGAGAAAAAAAATGTCAGTGATTAAACTGACGCAGGTTGGTATCATAAAGAAAAAAGTCTGGGCTTTTTTTTCCAGTGGGAACATGGGGGAACACAGTTCCAATACTGAATGTATGAAATGGCAAGGGATGCTGGGGTGTGATGCTGAGTCTATTGTTGCTGGCTGCTGGGGGACCTATTGTCTCCAGGAAAGTCTATTGTTGCTGGGGCAGGGGATCAAGTTGTTGCTGGGAGGGAAATTGGGAGGGTGTCTGTAGTTGCTGGTTGATGGAGGATCTGTTTATGCTGGCTGCTGGGAGATCTATTGTTGCTGGAGGGGTCTGTGGCTGCTGGAGGGGTCTGTGGTTTTTAGACCTGTTTTTTCTTGGGGGGTATTTTTGCTGCTGGAGGGTCTATTGCTGCTGGAGGGGATCTATTGTTGCTGAAAGAGGGTCTATTGTTGCAGGAGGGGGGCCTATTATGGCATAAGGGGATCTATTGTTGCTTTTGTTGCTGGAGGGGGGTCTGTTGGTCTGTTGTTGCTGGAGGGGTGTCTATTATTTGCAGGAGGGGTGTCTATTATTTGCAGGAGGGGTGTCTATTATTTGCAGGAGGGGTGTCTATTATTTGCAGGAGGGGGGTCTATTATTTGCAGGAGGGGGGTCTGTTGTTGCAGGAGGGGGGTCTGTTGTTGCTGTTGGGGGGTTCTGTTGTTGCTGGCTGCAGGGAATCTATTTTACTGCATTTCTTGATATCATTAACTAATCTCATACAAATTATTTAGCACCACAAAATGATACTTAGCTCTGTATTCTCTAAAAGGGGCGGTACTGGGAGGTGAGTAGAGGGAGGAACCAAGGGATGGTGCTCAGGGGTGGGTAGGGGGTGGAAACAAGGGGTGACTCGGAAGGAGAGAGTATCTGCACCTATTCTTTGAGAAAAAAATTCCTTATAAAAGTTATGTAAGAACTAACTGTTGTATATCTGCAAAGTAAAAGTCTGACATTGTTAAACATGTGATTGTTCCTCTGTTTAGCGAGCTGACAGTAGATGAGCCACGAAAAACATGCTGGTCAGGGATGTGCGGGTACCCCCAGGTGGTGTCTCAGGTGCACGTGGTCAGCGCTGCAGGACTCAAACATCAGGACTCTGAAGGAGGTAATAGCATGGTGTATGCTGCAGCAGTATCCATTCTAAAGTTTATGTTTTATTTATCATTCCTGGTTCCTTCCTCCAACATGCTAATGTAAGTTTAAATAAATCCTTCCCTTTTCCATTACATTCCTTATTTTAGATGTGATGTCATCACTTGATCTCTGTGCACTTCTATGCAATGCAGGCAGATCATGGTTGGTGGGAGGGACCTCCAGGGTGCTGTACATAGCTTCCTGAAAACCTCACATTACCCTGCCTCGGTACTCCTCAAGAACCTGCAGCACGCTGGCTCTTTGCAGGAGTTATGCAAATAACAAAAATGCCTTGATGGGTGCGATGGCAGCCAAGAGGAGTGGGTATTCCTAGGCAGGGGCGGGACTGACCACTCATGGGGCCCCCGGGCAATAGAGGATCATGGGGCCCCTGTGTCCTTGCCGAAACTCAAAAAAATCCTATGAAAAAGGTACCAGGGGCATCTCATGGGGCCCCCCTACTGACCCCGGGCCCTTGGGCAGTGCTCGAGTTTCCAAATGGTCAGTCCGCCCCTGTTCCTAGGTAGGCTGCATTTGCATGAAGGCTTACCTAGAGAACGACCACAGCCTCTTAAGACTGAGAAACTGGAACCCAATCAAAGAAAGCGGAGTGGGTGGGGGGAGGCAAGGACAGTAAGGCTGGGGAAGAAAGAGCTAGGTGATGGTGGATGTCCTCCAGTCAGAAAATAATCCATCCTTTTTATAGTTTGATAGAGAAGGGAATGTCCCATACTCAATGTTTTCCAATTATATCGATTCATATATGTGCGACTTAAAGTTGCAGCGACTTCAAAGTAGTCCATGCAGTACTTTGGTCCAACTATAATGCATCTTGACGGCCATAGACTTCAATGTTAACCCTCAAAAGCTGCATGAAAGTTGTACCTGAATGTTTTACATGCGACTTTGGATGGATGTGACTTGTCGTCCCTCTGCAAAGTTGCACGACTTTGGAGTCCTACAAGTGTGAATGGAGCCTTAATGTTATCAGTGCAACAGTTGAGGACCAGTCAAAGCCAAAGTCAACAGCCAAAGTCGCATCCAAGTTACATCCATCCAAAGTTGCATTGTAAAGCCGCAATGGAAATCACACGACTTTGGAGTCGCACAAGTGTTCATGGAGCCTTGCAGTAATCAGTTCTGGCTGCAATGTAAGTTTGTTGCATAAGGCCAGTCATAAATGGGTCCAAAATCGACCGATTGGTCATCCGAAAATCGGACCGAAGAATAATTGGCCGATTTTCGCCCTGTTAGGGCTCGTTCCCACTAGGCTGTTTTGCCAACGCTTGCCAAACGCCCCTATAGCGTTTGGCAAGCATTGGTCCGGCGTTTGCGGAGCATTATTATTGCTCGGCTAACGCCGCATGCGCGGTTTAGCGGCGGTTGCTAGGCGTTTGCCGAGCATTAATAACGCCCCACAAACGCCTATAATGCAGTTTGAGTGGTGTTACCGCTCCGCAAACGCCCCGCAACCGCGTCGCAACCGCACCGCAAACGCCGGCCGGGCGTTTGCAGAGCAGCACCATAGACGAGAATAGGAGGCTTCAAAGCCTCCTGACTCGTCCAGAGGCGTCCGTTTTGCCGCGACGCGACGCAAACGCTCCCGTTAGAACAGCACCATGTGCTGTAATGTGCAGAATTGGCAGAGGCGTTTGGGAAGCGGTAAAAACGCTTACCAAACGCCTCTCTGCCGCCTGCACACAACGCTAGTGTGAACGTAGCCTTAGTGAGTCAATGGCACTGTCCGATTTTTCCTGGTTCCTCCCCTTTTCGGTGATCAGGCATGTTGGAAAATTCGTGAAAAACGACCGATTTTCGACTCAATGATGGTCAAATCGTACAATTGTTTTTTCCGAAAAGAATATGCGCATGAGCCGTGACCTGGAAGGAACAGAAGTTTTGCCTGTTATATGGGGGTGAATGACTTGGTCGGCCGATTTTTGAAATAAATGATGGTATCATCGGATTACCGAACAAAACGACGTTTCCGATTTTGGGATGAAAAATCGTTCAGAATTTGAACCATGCATGGCCTGCATTAGGCTCCATTTACAAAGCTTACACACTAGGAGAAGGATGTTTATTTTCAGAAAAGTGACAGTTATTTTCAACTAAGGCCGATAAGATTTGAAAACGACAGTCACATGGCTCAACCAAAGTTACTAATCCAGGTGTTAAAGTTTAGCAAATTCGAGCCTAATGCAGGCCATAGATGGGTCGAAAAATCGGCCGATTTTTCGGCCGAAAATAAAAATCGGACGATTTTCGGATCGTTAGTGGGCGATTTGGTCGGCCGTTTTTCGGTATTTTGGCCGGTTTTTTTTTTCGGTAAAGTTGGAAAATAATCGGCCGATTTTGCCGATCGGCCGATTTTCGCGGCAATTAGTGGGCAAATCGGCCGATTTTTTTATCGATAAAAAATCTGCGCATGAGCAGTGACCTGCAAGAGGAAGACAAAAAGATGAAAGAGGAAGAGGATGAAGAGGAAGAGATGAAGAGGAAGAGGATGAAGAGGAAGAGGATGAAGAGGAAGAGGATGAAGAGGAAAGAGGAAGAGGATGAAGAGGAAGAGGATGAAGAGGAAGAGGATGAAGAGGAGGATGAAGAGGAAGAGGATGAAGAGGAAGAGGATGAAGAGGAAGAGGATGAGGGTGAAGAAGAAGAAGAAGAAGAGGATGAGGGTGAAGAAGAAGAAGAAGAAGAGGATGAGGGTGAAGAAGAAGAAGAAGAGGATGAGGGTGAAGAAGAAGAAGAAGAAGAGGATGAGGGTGAAGAAGAAGAAGAAGAAGAGGATGAGGGTGAAGAAGAAGAAGAAGAGAAGAAGAAGAAGAAGAAGAAGAGGGTGAAGAGGGTGAAGAAGAAGAAGAAGAGGGTGAAGAAGAAGAAGAGGGTGAAGAAGAAGAAGAAGAGGGTGAAGAAGAAGAAGAAGAGGGTGAAGAAGAAGAAGAAGAGGGTGAAGAAGAAGAAGAGGGTGAAAGAAGAAGAAGAAGAGGGTGAAGAAGAAGAAGAAGCAGAAGAAGAGGGTAAAGAAGAAGCAGAAGAAGAGGGTGAAGAAGAAGCAGAAGAAGAGGGAAGAAGAAGAAGCAGAAGAAGAGGGTAAAGTGAAGCAAGAAGAGGGTGAAGAAGAAGAAGAAGAGGGTGAAGAAGAAGAAGAAGACGAAGAGGATGAAGAAGAAGAAGAAGAGGATGAGGATGAAGAAGAAGAAGAGGATGAGGATGAAGAAGAAGAAGAGGATGAGGATGAAGAAGAAGTAGGATGAAAATAAGAGGAATTCCAGTCCAGCAAAAAGTGTCTCTGCAGAGAGCTCCGCTATTTCTTTGACAGTTCTCTGACAGTTCCTTGACATTTACAGCGGTTGCAACATTGTATCTATTTGTTTCCGAATAAAAACATCTGTATCCTAAATGGAAACAAATATATACATTGTTGCAACCTCTATAAATGTCAAGGAACTGTCAGAGAACTGTCAAAGAAATAGCAGAGCTCTCTGCAGGGACACTTTTTGCCGGCTCTAGACGGGATGAAAATCGGCCGATTTTTTTTTTACCATTGATGGTAACGTCGGCCACTTGAAACTCAAGTGGCCGACGTTTCCCAAACTCAAAAAAGCATCTGAAAAAGGAACCAGGGGCATCTCATGGGGCCCCCTAATGACCCCGGGCCCTCGGGCAGTGCCCGAGTTAACAAATGGTCAGTCCGCCCCTGGTCATATCGGTGCAGTTCTGACTTGGTCGGAGCCGCACCGATTACTAAAGCAGTGTCAGATGTCTTGCAAATGGCACCATAAATCGGCATGTCATCCGACTTTGAAATTGTGTGACTTCACTGTAAGTCGCACGATTTCAAAGTCGGGATCGTGGTGACTGGGGTGTTATGTGTTTTTGAAGAGCAGCTAATTACAATGTATCATTTTTTGTAACAGCAAAATTGTCAAATGTCATTTGGTTGATCTCTTGATTACCAGGATCACTCCTTGTTTCCCTTTTTTCCCTATTTCGTTTTTCTTGGCCAGTTTGACCAGTGACAGAAATTATGGCACTTTGTATCTACAGCGGCAGTATTACAACCCCTTAAAAATGGTCATTAATCAGACTATGAAAGAAGCATTACTTTCAATTTTTTTCTTTTGTGCTCTTGTTACAAGTAATTAAATAATTTTCGGTGGTAAAAAGAAAAATATATATATATATATATATATATATATATATATACATACATACATACATACATACATACATACATACACACACAGCAGGTAAAATAGGTATTGAACCCGTCACCGTTTTTCTCGGTAGATATATTTCTAAAGGTGTGGCAGCACAGTGGCTAAATGGTTAGCACTTCTGCCTGGCAGTACTCGGGTCATTGGTTTGAATCTCAGCCCACGGCACCACCTGCCCGGAGTTTGCATGTTCTCCCTGTGCCTGCGTGGGTTTTCTCTGGGTACTCTGTTTTGCTCCCACTCTCCAAAGACATGCTGGTAGGTGAATTGGCTCCTGTCTAAATTGTCCCTAGTATGTGTATGTATGAATGTGAGTTAGGGACCTTAGATTGTACGCCCCTTGAGGGTTAGGGACTGATGTGAATGTACAATATATATGTAAAGCGCTGTGTAAATTGACGGCGCTATATAAGTACCTGAAATAAATAAATAAAGGTGCTATTGACTAAAATTTTCACCACATGTCGGTAACAACCCATGCAATCCATACATACAAAGAAACCAAAATAAATAAGTTTAGAAATTACGTTATTTATAATAAAATGGAATGAAACTGAGAAAAAGTATTGAACACATGAAGAAAGGGATACACAAACAGGCACGACACCAGCTGAAATCTATCAGTAACTAGAAAGCAATCCTGCCCCTTGTTAGTGCTAATTAACATTAACTGGTTCAGTCTGAACTGATGGCCTGTAAAAAGGTGTCTCATTAGCAAGGTGTCATCTCATGATGGGTAAAAGCAAAGAGTTCTCTCAAGACCTTTGCAATCTTATTGCTGCAAAACATACTGATGACATTGGTTACAAAAGGATTTCTAAACTTCTGAATGTACCAGTGAGCACTATGGGGCCATAATCCAGAAGTGCAAAACATTATTTCACCATAAACCGAGATAAATAGAATTATCAGAAGAGTTGTCCAAGAGGTCCACTTGTGGAGAGATTTAGAAAGACCTGGAATTACCAGATACAATTATTTCAAAGAAAACAATAAGTAATGCCTCCAACCACCATGGCCCCGTATGCATGCTCACCACTCAAGACTCCATTGCTGAAGAAAAAGCATGTTGAAGCTCGTTTAAAGTTTGTTGCACAACATTTATACAAGCCTGTGAAATACTGGGAGAATATAGTCTGATCAGATGAGACCTCTTTGGATGCCATAATACACATCATGTTTGGAGGTCAAATGGCACTGCACTACACCCCAAAAACACCATACCAACAGTGAAGCATGAAGGTGGGAGCATCATGGTGTGGGGCTGTTTTTCAGCATACGGTACTGGCAAACTTCATGTCATCGAAGGAAGGATGAATGGAAAAATGTGTGTGTGTGTGTGTGTGTGTATATATATATATATATATATATATATATATATATATATATATATATATATATATATATATATATATATATATATATATATATATATATATAGATATATCTCTCTCTCTCTCTCTCTCTCTCTCTCTATATATATATATATATATATATATATATATATATATATATATATATACACACATCTATCTACAGTGATAGTAATACAACACATTTAAATGATTACTGGTTAAATTGGTTAAACTGTGGGAAAACAAACTTTTTTTTTTCTTTTTTACTTTTGTGCTTTTAATATAGAGAATTCAATAAGTATTAAATAGTTCTTGGAGCTGGCAGAAACTAATGTGCTATACATTTTTTGTTTCTTTTTTTAAGGCGCTGATCCATATGTCATCATTAGCTGTGAAGGGCACAAAGTTCAATCTCCAGTCATCAAGGACAACTTGGATCCCAAATTTGATGTCAAAGGCTTGTTCTTCCGAAAGAAACCTGGACAGCCTATTATTGTTCAGGTAAATCAGCTGAATAATGCGTAACAATTATTTATGTACTGATTGTGATCAATTCATTGGTAGCTGTACTCAGTAAAATGGTACAGGTGGTTTTGAGAGCAGCCTCAGGTGACAACTCTATTTCTAGGACTAGAATTATAACTGGCAAGACCATGAAAAAAGCAAAATAAAAAAAGGAAAACTAATGCAGCTTCTACATTTAAACATCTTTTGGGCTTAGATGCACTTTAATTTAGGCTGTGTTTTAGTATTTCCCTTTGCGCCTCTCTTGGTAGCTATATATCAGGTCATGTGGTATGTCCAAAACCAAAAAGGAAGGACAAACACATGCGTATATTAATAATAAAAAAAAATCTATATAGTGTGTGTGTGTGTGTGTGTATGTATGTATGTGTATATATATATATATATATATATATATATATATATATATATACACACACACACATCTATCTATCTATACACATCTATCTACCTGCCTACCTAATATAAATATATATATATATAAATCTATACATATACACATATATACACATATATATGTGTGTGTGTGTGTATATGTATATGTGTATATATATATATATATATATATATATATATATATATATATATATATATTAGGTAGGCAGGTAGATAGATGTGTATAGATAGATAGATGTGTGTGTGTACACACACACACACTATATTTTTTTATTAATATACGCATGTGTTTGTCCTACCTTTATGTGTGTGTATATATAGATGTGTGTGTATGCATAGATGTGTGTGTGTGTATATATATATATAGATGTGTGTGTGTATACATAGATGTGTGTGTGTATATATATATATATATATATATATATATATATGTGTGTGTGTGTGTATATAGGATACATTTAGGGATGTGGTACTGCAGTCTTAAATGTTAGATATATTATGTCATGTAGGTAAGTGAAGAGAGGAGTGGAGGAGCTGGGCCAGCACAGACAGTAATTAGACACTCCCAGAAAAGGAGAGGGCAGTGACATGGACGAGGGAAGCTGCTAGGGATTTGTAAGGCTACGTTCACATTAGCCTTGTGTGCAGGCGGCAGAGAGGCGTTTGGGAAGCGTTTTTACCGCTTCCCAAACGCCTCTGCCAATTCTGCACATTACAGCACATGGTGCTGTTCTAACAGGAGCGTTTGCGTCGCGTTGCGTCGCGGCAAAACGGACGCCTCTGGACGAGTCAGGAGGCTTTGAAGCCTCCTATTCTCGTCTATGGTGCCGCTCCGCAAACGCCCGGCCGGCGTTTGCGGTGCGGTTGCGTTGCGGGGCGTTTGCGGAGCGGTAACACCACTCAAACTGCATTATAGGCGTTTGTGGGGCGTTATTAACGCTCGGCAAACGCCTAGCAACCGCCGCTAAACCGCGCATGCGGCGTTTGCGGAGCGTTTGCCGAGCGTTACAAAACGCTCCGCAAACGCCGGACCAACGCTTGCCAAACGCTATAGGGGCGTTTGGCAAGCGTTGGCAAAACAGCCTAGTGTGAACGAGCCCTAATAGACAAGAAAGTGCAGCACTGGGATAAATAAATAAATTGTCCAAAGGACTCTGCGTAAAAAATCACTATAAACACCAATTAAATAATTCAATCTAAAATCAGAAATGGTATATCAAAAAGTTCCAATGTAAACAGTATATAAAGTGACTCTCGTGCTTAATGACTCTGGATCCAGTATCAGTGCAATAGTGGTAAAGGTAATAATTATTGCGCCTTATGTTAAAATCCAGATGTCATCAGACAAGTATTAGGTAGATGGACTTCCCTCTCAGAGATGGTGGGTGGGTCGTCAGGTTAGATGTTATGGGGTTGGTAAAGATGGTCCTCGTCCTTATAAAACTCCTTTGCATTCAACCTGAAGTAACTCTCTGGATATGCAGATCAACCTTCAGGGTATGGCAATCCATCCTAGAGTAGTGGGTCTGCTGGGTTAACCACCTTCCGCCCGCCCTATAGAACAATGACGGGCGCAAGGTGGTTTTCTCATTCTGATAGGACGTCCTATGACGTCCTTCCATTCTCATTGTGCATGCGCAGCTCAGGGAGCGTGCAGCGCGGCGATCTCCAGTGCGCTGTGTCCCGCAGACACAGCGGATCATGGAAAGAGCCAAAGATGTCGGATCGGTCATGTGATCAGCTGTGTCCAATCACAGCTGATCACATGTAAACACGGAAATGCTGGTTACCGGCATTTCTCTCCTCTCGAGCTGTCAGCGTGAGCCACCTATCAGTGCCCATCACTGCAGCCTCATTAGCGCACATCAGTGAAGGAGAAAAATTACTTATTTACAGAATTGTTTGTTTAAGAAAAAATAAAAATCCCATAGTGATTATATACCAGCAAAAGAAAGCTCTATCTGTCTCCAAAAAATTATAAAAATTTCATATGGGTACAGTGTTGCATGACCGCGCAATTGTCATTCAAAGTGTGACAGTGCTAAAAGCTGAAAATTGGCCTGGGCAGGTAGGGGGTGTAAGTGCCCTGTAGGCGAGGGGTTAAAGAGCTCCCCCGGGGGTAAGTACAAGGAAACTCCCATAGTGTAATAGTTATAAACAACTTTATTGTGATGCATCAAATAAGGGTCAAACAGACAGGACTAACCATCTGGTATTAAAGATGGACACCGGAGCTCCACGTTGCTCCGGTGCCGTGACGTCACGGCGTGATGTGGCTCCTCCTGACGCGTATCGTGTACAAATATGTCCTCAGAGGGGGGTCGCCAAAGGGATTTGATTCTTGTTGGAGTAGTCAAAATTTCGGGCAAGTTCATAGGCATATGGCAAGTGAATAGAAAAACATTTATGGAAAGGAAAAGCATTGCAAGTTCTCATTTCATTTACTTGATTTTCTTCTGTGCTTTTACCTGCATTTTTTTTGGTTGGTGACAGGGGCTCTTTAAACTTGCCTATCCTTTGTTCTGCATATGGTCTGCTAAAAGTGTAGAGACAAAACCCCCAGAAAACAAGTCAAGTTTTGGAGCCATCAGAGGGCTGAGGGCTTTCTCCCCAACCTCATAATACAGCGCTGGGTTCCTGATCGACCAATCAGAAGCACCATCTCGTGCAGGGTGGATTTGATTTAAATCACTAGTCAGTAAGGCTTGATTTAAATCCTAGTTTTCTACATAAAGACTAATTCTTGCTGGTATAACTTTAATATACATAGTATATTATTAAAAATCTTCATAGTAGATGAAGATTTTTAGAATAACAACTTTTCTTATTAGTTTTTTTATCCCCAGTTTAATAGGTTAATCATTCATATTTGGACAACTTTTCTGTTGTACTTAGGAAGGAGAAAAATAATCATTACCTTAATAATAACAATTTAAATAGATTTATTCATCTGAAACAATAACATTCCAGCATATGTGATTTGCTTAAACATCCATGTTTGGTAACTAATTTTGGCTAAACAAAATATATATATTTTAAGAAACGTAGACTGTCAGCCCCTTCCTCCTCACACTTAGTTTCACTTTCTTCTTGTGCAGATCTATTCCACTCCAAACAATCAGAAAAATATTGTTTCTATTCTATTCACTGAACTTCTTGAAACTTAGCAGTGAAGGGGTTGATTCTGTATTCATAGGTTTGTAGAAGTTAGGATGAAGGTCTTTTTCTAACTCTGTTCATGTTATAACATTTTTGCTGTGAAGAAGAGGCATGTGATCTCCGCTGAGTCAAATTCAGTTTTGAGAACTGCAAAGTAGTAAACCAATCATCTGTGATAATATCTTGTAGGCAGAGAAACTGCCCAATAATCTTACAGAAACCTCTGGAAGAGCATGACATTGTGAATGGATTCATGGAATTTATTTACCAAAAACATTAAACATATACAGCCTTATTCTACATAATTAAAAAACTAATCTTTATTTCATGATGGAATAACCTTTGGATGGTAATATATTTTCCTCAAAAAGCATTTTATTCAAAAAAATCCGATTTAAATAAAAAAAATCCGATTTAAATAAAAAAAATCCGATTTTTTTGAAATTTTTTAAAAAAATCATTGATTTTTATCCACCCTGTTTCTCGTGTGATGGAGGGGAGTGACCAACCACGCGCCCTACTGCACCTGGGTGGTTTTCATTGTGTTTTTATTTTTTTTAGTCTCCCATCCCTTTGTTCTTCCAGGTCTGGAATCACAACATAGTGAAGGATGAATTCATGGGTCAAGTGGTCCTCTCCGCAGAAGCCAACAATCAGCAGTCCCAGCACAGCCTCCCCCTCCAGGACAAGAGTAACAAATCCAATCCTCAGGTTTCTGGTTCTGTCCAGCTGGTCCTGTTCACCTGCAACACCCTCACCGGCATTTAACCGCCATGTGCCATACCCGCCAGATAGACATCTCCACAGTGGGTGCCTTTTGGAAGACCAAGGATTGTTGGACGGTTGAGCTTCTTTACAGACCATGGACACCTTGGTGCATCTTCTCGTGTCCTCCTTATTCACCAATATCCACCGATGACCATATAGTAAACTATCCAGCGAGATGCATGTGGTCTGTATGCTTTTCAAGGCCAAACAAACTTACAGGGGACCGCATTCAGTGCTGGTAATCGGTGACTACACGGCCATATCTTGCTGTCCTCCTTCATTCAGGTCTATTCAAGTCATTATATTTAGTATTGCATCTACTATAGGAAGAATTTATTGCCAATAACAAATCATTATGTTAAGATCATATCACTAACAAGTTTTTTATATTCCTTTTAGGATATCAACCAATGTATTTATCAAATTCTATTTTCTGTGGACTTCTAGGTGAAGCTGACGGTGCTTTTTAAAGCCCAACTGAACTTTCAGCTTAAGTCGCCTAAAAAAAAAACATTCCAGCTGCATTAATAGAAGAGATGTGCAAAGTCTTACATTAGAAAGCAGCCACATACGGAGTAGAAAAGTCAGTTCTCTTCCAGCATGGTGTA